AATATAACAACATATAGTTTACAATTTTAAGGAGATAGTATAATTATATAGAACAAAATTAGCCAGAAATGTAAACCAAAATGGTAAGATGTGTAACCAGCTTGTATTGTCAGGTGTGCAGTTTGCTTGATAACTTGCTACAGATTGAAACAAACTGTAAATTAGGCAGGCCTGACCGTAGCAGCCACATGTTGAATCAATTTTTGATGGTTAAGCCAAACAAATGGCATAAATAACAAGACTTAACAGTACAAATGCATTCAGTTTTTATATTTTCATAATTACATTCTTCACAGAAGTATGAAAAGGGTTTTGACATCGGAAGCTCACGCACTGGCTTCCTCTTGGTCAGATATCTAAACGTTAAAGTGTTCAGTACCTTATAAAAAGCTTAGCTTAAGCTCAGCAAAGACAAACAACATTCTTAGTTCTAGTGTTTTGTACTTGTTTTTCTCTTATGACTCAGCTCCTTGAAGGTGTTTTTATTGTAACCGCTTGTCATGCTTAGTCAATAAGCCTTATAAGTAACATATGTTACATTTAAAAAAAATCTTAGCCTGAATCTGACAATGACATCTTATTGCGAATCTATATCTCCACTCCTCTGTCTACCAGATGATGGATATATAACTTTTATTACTGATTATTCATTAATGCCAATATGGCTGAAAATATTCATAATAATTTAAAAATTTGTGTTGGATTTTACGGGTAGGAATTAAAACCAGGATATGCATTGTAGGGAATAAATCTAGATTACAGCTCCCTTTTTTGTGACATGAGGCTTTGCTTAATAAAGTTGATATTGATTTTTCAGAATGATAGGATGATGACAGGATAATAATAATTTATCAGAATCAAAACGATACCAATTTATCAGTTGACTCCAGTTGCTTTAAATATATCCCATTGACATAAGTTTCCAGAGTCGTTGGGCTATGATGTATTTCTACTGTTACATACAGTATGTTTATTGCAGCACAGTGGCCCTGCAGCATTGTCACCTTTCAGCTGCAGGGCTGGGTGTTGAGGTTGTTTCTGGGAGCTCAGACTTTGCAATGGTAGCCTCACACCCTGTTCCACCTCCTCCCACATTCCAAAGCCCTGCCTCTCAGATCAGCCTTTGTCTCGGACTGCATGCCGTGAGCTGCACTCTCTATACTTCATAAGATAAACTCTGATCATTCATGGAGAGATAACCATTCACTGAAAACTCATTACTATTTGTCTATGTATAAATATGACCAAAAGTGTGTGTTGGTTTTTTGCATCAACTAAACTCTTAGTGACTTGATTGATATATTAATTCTATTTATAAAATTTGTGTGTAAATTCAGTTATATACATATAGCATGTGAATATTACTTGCTGTAATTTCAGATCTTTATTTCATCATAACATTTGTCAGCATCGGGATCCGACGAACCAGAATTCAGGCGAGTTGCAGCCAGGAGTTCAGGTAACGGGGTTTATTCAGGGAAGGACGGACAGGCAACGGACATCAACGGACACTACAATGACAAGTCTGGGGAAGACTGACTAAGACGAGGACTAAATACACAAGACAAGCTAGACTTAATAGGACACAGGCGATCACAATCAGGGTTGAACACGAGGTAATGAGGGGGGCGTGGCACACATCGGGATCGTACGGAGCAGGGTATGACAACATTAAGACAAAAAAAAAACTTGCTACATGTATTGTATGAATAACCCATTATTATTGATAATTTATTGATAATTTTGATGACCATGGTGATACTTGCTTAGAAGATGAATAGATTGATGGGTTAGTATCAGTGTATAGTATTAGTGTGTTTTACTGCTATCAGAAGATTTAGAATTCGTGGTCATGAAAACATGGATGGTTTGTTTGGTGAAAAGTTCCTACTCAGATCACTTTGTGATCTTTGCAGCAGCGAGTTGGGGGAAATTGGGAACCTCCGCTTCATTACATCTGGTTCCATTTCTTTCCATTCCTCCGTTCCTAATTGTGTGTGGGTGGTGGTGGTGGTGGTGGGGAATGTTGGCAAAAGACGCAATCCTGCCCACTCCACAAATTTCCTGGAGCGGCATGTCGCTGGAAAAAATCCAAATGTTGGGACGACATGGTCTACATCAAATTATATATATAAAAAAAGTAATTACTTTCCTCCTCTGCTCCCTAACCATCAACACTGTTACCCACATCACTGTACTCCATGGATAATTTAGAGTACCGGGTTGCCATTTTGAGACTCCATTTGCCATGCTTAAAAACATAATGCGCAGAGCCTCTTTAATTAACCAACCTCAGCGCTACACGAAAGGATACATTACTTTAATTGAGCTTCACTGCCTTCTGACAGTCATCTATTATTTTGTCTTCGATATAAAGGTCTCAGCCGTGTACTCGGTACTAGTCCAGTCCCATGTGGCACCCTAGGCAAGCTTCACTGCTAGTGCCCCCTGTCTGAAACAAAATGAAATTGGCTGGCTAAGTCGGCAGCCCCTCAGAAGACATTTCTGCAGTTGACATACAATTGAGGAAGCAGCATCAGAACGTTTCTGAAGCAAGTGGGGGTTAATGGCCCAATGGCAACCAGCCACCTAACTCACTAAGCCACATACCACCTACCACCAGAAGACGGCGCCCTAGGCAGCCGCCTATGTCAGCCAATGGATCGATCAGCACTGTCTGTACTGAATAAGCAGTGGGAAGAAGTAAATCTCACCCTGACATCCTAGCATCAGTCTTAATAAGAACACAACCTGTAACAATGCAACACAGCTTCTTATTTTTAAGAACCCTTTGATTAAGAAAAGGAACATATAACAATGAAAAATCTCATGACGGCACTATATTCTGCAGGCATTTAAAAGACGGCCTGCCGCAAGCCTACAGGTGATTCTGCCCCCGGTGGACCAGTTCTCCAGCTTTCAAGGCCAGCTTTCATCCATCAAACGCCTCCTGTAGGACCACACTTCAGAACTTATGCAAAATCGAGCAGATGAGCCTCTCGTCACCAAGCCGCCCCGAGCGCTTATCGTGCTTACTCAACCATCTCCGGAAAACCCCGGCATTTCGGGGGCAGCAGGTGAACCGTGCCCCGAAAGTGTACTCGTCCAACCTGTCGGGTTCGAGGGTGTTATCTGACAAAGGAAATGCCATTCACCATTGTTTTTTTAAAAAAAGTAGCTTAAACAGGTAGATGAAAATACTGTGGGGATTTCCATTGATATTACCCCCATAATTAATGTGGATTAATGATTCGGTTAAGCCAAGCTGAGTTAGGGTTTGGATTTTGTCAAGTTCCGTATAGAGTGGGCGCCCCTAACCAGGGGTGTGGTAAATGCAGGCAAGTTAGGACGATTCCAAGGGCCTCCATAGGGGCCCTAAAAAATTTGGAACATAATTGGTCTGGGTGGCACCCCCACCCCCAAACAATCCACATTTTTGCGAGCAGTAACACTCGCTGACTAGTGTCAGTCAGCCTTTCTGTGGGAAAAGCCATAACATTTAAAGCGATGAAGCAGCAGTACACACAGGAAGATAATCCAGACCGGAAAAGTTATGGCTGCGTTATCTTTGTGGACACTTACCTCGCTGTCAGCTCCGTTATGAGTCTGGAGAAAGGTTGCAAACAGGTGCGATATGCAAAGGGTCTTCCCCCTTTGAGTTGACGACGTGGTGTGAGACAAACCTTTCCGGGGGGGGGGGGGGGGGGGGGGGGGGGGGCATCTCTGGAGTGTTCACAGCCAGAAGGGGATGGGAATCAGTGAAGCCATTTTCTTATCTCAGATACGTGTAGTAAATCTCCGAATGGCATGCAAGTGTTTTCTACAGCCAACTAAAGGCCCTCTCAACCTCCCCCCCACACGGAAAAATGCTAATCCAATGACGTGAGCTCTTTCATGCTTCTTAATTAAACCTGTGGGGAAATCCCCCCCCCCCAAAACTCCATGAGTCATCAGCACTGTAACATATCAAGGGTTTTACGTAGCTCCATGAAGCTACATAAAAAACGCTTTAAAATATATTAAATAAATGTACATAAATGAATTGAAACTCTGGCGAGCGTCTTTCAGCTTGGCCCCAAAGCAGACTCGACTTTTCAGTTTCTGGCACACATTCCGCCTTTCTCTCCAAATGTTATTTCTGACTGTAAGATAGTGGCCATGAATCGGCCAACACCAGCTAACAGGAACACAGCTTTAGATGAATTAGACGCCACTCGGAGATGATGCACTGACATACCCATTAGTCTCACGGGGAAATCACGAACACATTCACATCATGTCGCCGGATCAAAAGGAACAGTCTTACAGAAAACAAAAGTTTCTCTCTGCGTAGAACGAAAACTGGTGCACTTTAAATTGTTGACATTTAAGGGTCCGCTTCTCTCAAAGATAAATACAATTATTCTTCCTTTAAGTAGTGTAGCGTAAACCATTCCTTTTACACAAACATATAATATATACAGTACATGGATATCTATCTCACATATTGGAACAGTAAGGAGAGTTCATTTCATTTATCAAAACAACAATTTGATCTGATCACACAGACCTTCAGGGTACAAGTAATAATTTTTTATTTTGGCACTAGGATCTCATCTGGGGGCGGGAGGATCCCCTAATTTGTGCCCGGTCCCCAGTCCCACCCCCCCTGCATACATACATGGGATGTATGGTTAGAAGATAGATAAACAGATGGGTGGATTTTTCTTGCCTTTTTTCATTATACAGACCTACTGTAGCACACCAGGCTACAAACAAAAAAAAAATAAATAAAAATCTACACTACTTGAAAAGAGGTGCTATGGTCTGGAATTTGCTGAATGATATCTACAGAGAGAAGCGGAAATCCTACCACTATTTGCTTGGTCATGCATGAAAGGCCATAAGAAAATCTTTATCCCAACAAGATCTCCGATTACTACTAATGAACTTAATGTGATATTTGTGAGAGGTATAAGAAACTAGTCTGCGGGTGGAAATAAAAGCACAGAAACCAAGAATTCTTCTTAGAAATGATGACATCGTTGTAATTTTGAACACAGAATCACAAATAACGTCAATATTCATGTTCTCAGCTGGGAGCATCAATGCAGCCTTTGTTTGTGGCCTGACTACCCAAACACACCTCCCTATAGCATGCAGACAACAGAGGTACCCACAAGTCATCTCTTCTCATACAATATCTGTCCTTTTCATTCAGGTCTTTCTCAGTGACCTTGCTCAGCAGGCAGCCGTAAAATCCCGAATGTCAGTCATGCTCAAGCTTACCACAGACATTTCACATGTGCAAGTGAGAAAATGTCAAACAGGGAAACACGCCCCCCACCATTTTAAAAGCAGAGTATTGTGACACAAGGAACCCTGGTTTTACTTAGAACTAATAGATTTTTCTTCTGTGTTACTTTGAATACGTGTAATGTAATATAACAACTGTGTAATGCAACAATTGTAACTCTTCTGGAACCAATAAAACACTTTTTTCCCCACATCGCAGTAACACTGAAAACACCTTTAGCTCGGTATTCTCAAAAATGTACTAAACAATCAGTGAAGACACTACAATAATGGCCACTCATCAGGCTAGACAAGACATCAACAATTTTGCAACTATCATCCTTCACACCAGTAAATGCCCTGATGCTATTTATTCCATACCCCTACTTGTGGGGGGCACTATTTCCAATCAAATATACACAAATTATAAGGAAAAAAGCATTTATAGTAAATTTTGTTTGAATAGTCACATTCACAGCTAAATACAGGTAGTAAATGTGAATGTTTACCCATAAGATAAATTAGTGGAATAAACCAAAACACACTGTGATTACAGCTCATAAAGCAATACAATTGTTTCATGATCTTATTGGATTAGTCAATAAAAGGTTGCTTACAAGAGCACTTCCCCTCAGACACAGTTAATCAACATAATTTGTACCAGTTTTCACATAAATGGTCCAGTTGCTTAACACACACTTTTAAAGCTAAAAGCTAACTAGTGATTTATAGTTACGTTTTGAAAACTGGGCAGGTAAGTGCATCTCAGAAAGTTACAACATCTAGGACTGTGTTTGATCAGAAGCTTCTTAATGCTTAAGGATTAAAAGCTAAAGCTCTGTCAAGTCATGTTAGTTTCACAAATGTTTTCGTGTTACCTCCTGTTGTCTAACACATGGGAGAAATTAAATATATTCCAAATTTGATAGCATATGCACTGTGTATCACACATGAGCATCAAAAGGCTACAGCCAGGAGTAAATTTGGTATACCCTGCCCTCTAGTGGAAATAACTGAAAATACAACAAAACTGGCAACAGTTTGACAACTGATGGAAAGTAGCTGCTTTCAAAAATGATTCCTGTCGCCAGAAAACTCCTTACAATATAAATACTCAGGTTACTTCGGTTATAATAGGGTTTTTCTGAATGTGTTTATTACTGTTTATACTTTAGAAATACTTAAATTCATTTACTTTTGCAAACTGTTGTGTAACACCAGTGTAAATTAATAAAAATAAAACCATCTGAAGCCAAGCACCACAACTTCACATTTTCTAGTGGAGACATTAGCTTAAAAAACAGTAAGATTCACTTAAATTAATCAATCATTTATTTATTCTGAAGGACTCTACTTAGAAACCAGCATGGATCAAAATGCTCAGACCACCTTCCATAAGAGGTTAGTAACCTGCCAGCATGTTTTTCCACTGGCTATTTATTGGTTTGACAAGATTTAAAATGTACTGCGACAGACCCTCGGGGCGGCTCACACTGTATACTGAATTAAAAAAGAAAGGCACAGTTTGGCTCTTTTGCACATTTCATGATGTTTTCGAAGCACAATTAGGACTATACTACTGGCATTTACGTTTAATTTGTGCTATTTATTCATAATTAATCTTAGTACATGACAAATGAACACACTGGCCCAGACCCCCAGTTAGGTCACAGTATTAGCATTTTGATCCGCCAACAAAGACGTCATTTAAAACTCATCAGGGGAGCTGCTTCTGAAAACCACAGATTGAACCTACAGATTGTATAAATCAGGAAAGGAAAATGCAAAGGTTGAAAAGTTTAGGCAATCCCCCCCCCGATTTCGCCAAACTGTACTGTTCGGATTAGCTGGAAACTCCACAGCCTTAAAATTAGCATAATACTGTCATTACTAAAAAAAAATACAAACCCGATACTAGTGTTATAAAGTATTAGGTCCTACTGTATCAAATTCGTTAGCAGTGTATCACTGTATCATTCGTTAGCAGTAGCATTAAATGTCACAAGGTAATGTCCCCGATGTTTCATTGTTAATGATTTACACAAACAACTGGAGGGAAGGTAAATGAAAGCTGAGTCTTGGCTCTTCTAGCCCAGAGAAGCAGCCGCGATTAGCTGCCCCATCCCCTGGGTTAATATTTCACAGAGGGAAAGCCACCACAGTGACCCCAAAGCAGCAGACGAGGGAGGCCACCGAGACTCCTCCTCCTCCCGGGGTGAAGGACCAGCTTCATAGTTTGGACTTGGCCTGGAAGAAGCTCATGATGGCGTTCATGCACTCGTCCGACTGCCAGCGCTCCTCCAGCCGGGCCACCTCGCTGGCGTTCACCTGGTGCAGCCGCTCCTTGTCCACTTGTCGCACCAGCTGCCTGGACAGGGCCAGGGACTGGGGGAGGGGATGGGAAGACAGCGCATGAGAGCAATGGGCACACACCCTTATATTACATACGCAAAGCTGATTGGACAGGGACAGAGTCTGGGGGGAGGGGCCAAGACAATCAGCAAATGAGGACAAAGAGGATAATGCTTATATCAAATACACAATGCTGAATGGACAGGGCTAGGGACTAGGAGGAGGGCAAAGACAGGGAATGAGGGCAAACAGGCACACAATAGGGTATAAGATTAGTCATTAATTACATGATTATTCTTTCATATTACAGGGAAAATTGCCTAGTCAAAGTAGCAAAAAAAAAGTCTAAACAATTGAAGGAATTAAGAAAATCACATTGTCCAATCCTTGCAAATGTGCATTTAGTAAACAGAAAAAAAACTGACTGAAAATAATTCGATAATTCACATGACTATACTGCTATTTCTATTGGATATATGGATGATAATTTTTTTCTTAAATATCAGAATTTAGAGCTTTTAGAAGTATAGGACTTTTATATTGTAAGTACAATCTCACATGGTAACTTTCATCTGCATTTCATGTATGGAAAAACCAAGAATCATTATAAATAGGTGCCTATTAGACGTGTGCCCCCCCTCCCCGGGGACCCAGACAACCTGAGGTGCAATGAAGCCATTAAGCTGACTGCATGCGGTCATTTCCTCTGCACGCCGATTTTTTATATTTATGGATCCCATCACCCCATGAAAACAAATAAGGCGATTCAGGTTTACATGGCAGTCACACACGGAACCTCTGGAAGGCGTCGGCAGTAATTAGGCGCCACGTGACAAGCGCCTGCGAGCGGGGGGGGCTGACACCTACATTGCGGGGCAGCTTGGCGTACGCCCGTAGCCGGGCCCACACCTCTGCCTGGAAGGAGCCATCGGGGAACACCTCCGTCACCAGGCCCAGTCGGCACGCCTCTGTGGCTGTCAGCTTCTTGTTGAACAGCAGGACCTCGCTGGCCTGGGGGGGGGGAGGAACGGGACGTCCCATTAGATGGGGGAGGGGGGGGTAATGATACAGCGCCTACTCATAGCTGCACGCTCCGGCACACCGCAGACGGGCGATTGATGATGAGAAAAGACATGCAGCGTGCCGCGGAACTTCAAAGGGTCACGCATCGGGAATTCTCTGTTCCAGACGCAGCTCTGGAGCAATTATCTCATTAGCAGGCAGTGTGTTTCGGTTTGGCACTGGACTGAAAAATTACCACCACGCCCTTTATACTCAGATTCGCTCTCAGGCAAATAAGCACAAGACCTTTAAATTATATCCTCAAGATATATAATAATAAATTATCTCCTTTTCACTGTATAAGTAATGGATATCTAGACTCTATGAGAAACAAATCAGGCTTTGAATATGGGGTTGGTTTTACTATGAGCATGTCGTAACAGGGTTTCTCACGCCAGTGCTCAGGGACTCCCACACAGTTCACATTTTTGCTTCCGCCCAGCTCCCAGCCAATGAATAACATCAGGTACAGGTGTGCTGGAGGTGAGCAAAAATGTGAACTGTGTGGGGGGTCCCTGTTGCGATTTTCAACATGATATTTAACTGCCCGATGACACGACTTCCATCTACCCGTCATTTGCATCTGTAAAGATAAGCGGCAGGATCCTGATTGGAAGGCTAGCAGAGAGGGACTGGATTCCCTGATCTCACCTTGGCGGGTCCCATGAGTCTGGGGAAGGTGTAGGAGGAACACCCTTCTGGGCTCTGTCCCAGCTGGCTGAAAGGAGTGTGAAACGTCGCCTGCGCAAGATATGTGCACACGGTGAAACACGGAACCCTGCAGAAAGAGGCCTGTCCAACTCACCATCTAACCCCTGCCAGCCTGGAGACAAGCAGGGTTATACACCCCCTAGTGGTGCACAGGGGACACTGCAAACGAGAGTGAACAGCTCACTGACATCCCATAACTTTCCTGCTATTTTCCTGCTTGGAAATATCTCTTTTTTATTGAAAACAACTGCAGCCAGAGAGACAGATGTTAGTCATATGTAGCTGATCAGAGACTCACCTGTAAGCAGTATTTAGGGTCATGAATATTGCAACAATGACCACAAAGGGATTAACTATTAATATATCAGCAGTGTGTTATACAAGGAATTTCCCTTCTATACCTTTTCATATTATTACATATTAATATGATATCATATTTCATATTATTATATAAGTTAATGTCGAGTTGTCAAGCTGCTCTATAATTGAAACGGGCATCTCAGAGGAGAACTAACCCTTTCCGTGGCGTAGACGAGGTCAAAGAGACTTAGCACCGTGACGGAGACTCCGACAGCCGGGCCGTTCACCACAGCGACGAGAGGCTTGGGGAAGTCGATGAAGGCGCTGACGAACGCCCTACGGGGAAGAGGCAGCTCATCAACCAGGAACAACACGCAGGGGTAGCCAAGAAACAAAGAGCATGCAACTATGGCAGGGATGATGCAATCCTGCAGTCTGACGCAGAGGGCCTAAGCTGGGGTACATCCTGGGTGGGACACCTCTCATTCACACATGCAGCTTTGCAGACATAACATTTTAACCCTTCCTCATACAGTAAGTCACTTTGGATAAAAGTGTCAGATAAAGGAATTAAAAGTGAATGCAAATGTAATTTACACAACTGCACATGGGAATGTATATGGGTATAAATTAAAGGCATATTGTTGTAAACATGGGAGCGTGCATCAGGGGCATAGACAGCTAAACACTAAACAAAAATACATAAAAGGTAGTTATCTTGCACTTGTTGCAACCCCATCCTATTGCCCTGCAGCCAGCAGGCTGAAAAAACCCCAGTAAACACTGGAAGTCTCCACTGGAAAAACTAGCCTTACTTGAGCAACTTGCCGGCATCCTTAGCCATTTGCTCGATTCCATCTTTGGGGATGTGTGTGAAGTTGTTCAGGTCGTTTCCACTGCAGTAATAGTCTCCAGTGCCTTTGTGTTCCATGACACAGTTAATAAAAGCAGTTAGATCAGGTGGTTAAATCACACCCACACAAACAAACTATTTATGATAGCGATTTTCAATCATTCTGCCTATTCTCTGTTATAATTGCGTATCCATTACTAGGTCACAGTGAGCTGGGAGCCTATCCTTGTATGCACAGGCTGCAAGTCTATGGGCCACTCAGTTGCAGGGAACATATATTTGTGAGTTTCCTAACTGCATGTCTCTGGACTGTTGGAAGAAACAAACAAAACCTGTGCAATTTGGTGACGACATAGAAACTCCACGTTACAGAGCAGGGGCAAGATTTAACCCTCAATCCTGAATGCGTTGAAGGACAGTAACCACACCAACAAGCAATGGATTTTAACTGAAATGAGACAGATTCTAGTGGTACAACATATCAAATGGACACAGTGTTCCATGCAGGAATGATTAAAACAGCTGAACTGTAGAATTCAGCAGTACTTTCATTCCCTAATCAAACAAAGCAACAAAAATTACATTAAAAATACAAGGGTCACAAGAAACCCCTCATCTGTCCAGTCATTAAGACGCCATGGACAATAAGTCTACACGGTATTTCTTGACTTGTGTTATGTAAACGGGTACAGTTTCACTTTGAAAACAAATGTAGGAGAAACATTTGTAAGCAGAAAAGTATCAGCTATCCATGGACAGTGAAATCAAGTAGAGCTGATCCTGAACCCATACTTGAAGGATTCATAGAATGTTCATAAAATGTTTTGCAAAAATCTTGAGACTTCATATGATAGGTCCTACCTTCCTAATTTACCACAACTTTGCCAAAATTACCAAGAGGCTCAACTGACACTACCTAGAAGATGGTCAATTGTGACCCCTTTACCTGTGAAAACGGTTAGGACGGAGTCATCTTTGCCAGCAAGCTCTAGAGCCTTGATGATCTCATTGTACATCTGGTGGAAACAGAACCGAAGCACAACCAATGAGCATTAAGACCAGACCTCAACACACCTACATATAGCACATTCATTTCAGCTGGGAGGTAGCCGATGACTGACTTGATGAGTCAGTCAATAAAGTTGCTTTGTCTCTTTGTCTTCATTTCTGTACATTGAGTTGTAAGAAAACTTTTGTGAACTCATTGGATTTCTCTGAAAATGGGTAGGAATGGCCCCTAAACAGAGATCTTGTTTTTGCAGTGCAGAAATTTCCATTGTGGTAACCTGCCATGATACTTATGGGCTGATATTTGGTCCACTAGAAACTCAATATGAATGGTAAATATTTGAATCAGCAGTTTTCGCATTAAACTGAATCTGAATTTATTAGTTTGAATCTGAATTTATTAGTTGAATCTGAATTCAGTACGTAAATTCAATTTCTACATATTGAGACGCACAATCCAGGTCCTTGAGGAAAGTAATCGACTGCAGGTTCACAACATAACTCATTTCCACGTTTACGACAGTTCTGCAGGTCGGGGTAAAGTGGAGGCGTGCCGGGATGTCGCAAGCGCATTACCTTATAATATATATGAGAATAAGCTTTATATACACACAAGCGATAGCATAAACATTAACCGTAGGTCTGGTTAGTACTGCTAGTTTATGTTAATTTGTTAGACTAATGCAAAACTAACTGGGGATATGAATTTTACTTCTAGTTCATTTTAAGTTATGGCTCGCCTGTTCATCTCATCTGGCTTTCTATCAGTGTTTATGCTAAATATCTTTTTAAATATTCATCTCGCCGATATGAGGCTGAAGTCAGTATTAATTTCTAATATTTGAGTATGGATTATTATTTAGCACTTCATAATGCACAGAGAATGTAATCATTAGGACTCTATAACAAGCTGATGTAAACTGTGCAGAGTGACTTTGTAACCTTTGACACCCCGGCACACGCCTCCGCTTTACCCCGACCTGCAGAACTGTCGTAAACGTGGAAATGAGTTGCGTTGTGAACCTGCGGTCGATTACCTTTCCTCAAGGACTCGGATTGTGCGTCTTAATAATAGTCATGAATTCTTTCAAAAACTGCACTTAAATCATACACTGAATGTCAATGATTTTTTTAGCCTTCTTCAGCAAAAGTATTGATCAATTTCACCCTCATATTTCTCAGAGAATCCAGTAAATTAGGTATCAAAATAAGCACTGAAAAACAAAGCTTTTCAGAATACGGACAGCTGGTGACCAGATAATCTGTCAGGGAGCTAGGACGGGATTTGTAAACTACCATTATAGTTAAAAGGACCTGGATTTCACTTACACACTGAGTTCTTGCTGTGTGCCGATTGGTCAGTGTCATATAATCATGCATGTGTCACTAATGTTAATGTGATGAATTTTTCAAGGAAACAAGCCAATCAAAGCACAAGAAGAACTGGACTGTTTAGCCAAGTTCAGGAGCCATTCACTTTTAGAGCAGTTTGTAAAACCTGAAGCAGCTCAAAGTGACCTCTCTGACATGGATTATCTGGTCACCCTACTGACAGCAAAATCCATCAATTAACGGCGTGTAAATGAAAGTGAGGTCCCCTTGTCCTAGAAGTTTACATACTTTATTTTTATAATTTAGATGAAGAGCTGATAACATTTTACATGCCATTTTTGCTCCTAATTCCAATATTTTCACAAGACTTTTTTTTTTACACATATACATGAAAGAAAGTCCAACGTGCATCTTCACACATCCAGCCATAGCTCTTCATAAGCCTTAACCTCATCGACTAAGTCGATGGTGGGAGTCAAGGAGCTCACCGTCAGCTGGTTTTAGGCCAAGTTGCCTACCTGCATGGTGATGGCGTTCTTCTTCTCGGGCCGGTTGAGGCGAATGGTGCTGATGTTGTCCTTGGTGGAGAAGACGATAGTCTGGAAAGCAGGGGCGCCCCCAGCAGCGGTCGGGGCCGCCTGGATGGGATTCTCAGAGGCTACCAGGCTGCTGATTAGGTCCACATACTGCTGCCTGGCCTCCTCCTGCAGATACAGAGACCCTGAAAATGCCTCCCCTCTTTTGTGCAGGATGGACAAGGCATCAAACACACCAGGACCCTGGACGGGGGGGTCATTTTTTATTTTTTACAGACACACACTGTTGTAGGAGAGTGTTTGTATTTAAATTATTAAGTTGTGCTCCACCCCCCCATATCAAAAGTCTATTTATTGGGGGGATAAATTAAGTCAAATTTAATACTGGGGTATACATGTCTGTGCCTTCGTAAGACATTCATAAAATATTCATAGGCTGCATGTAAGCATACCATAACATCCGAATGGACTTTAATATGCATTAATTACAAACAATACATGATGATAAACACTAATGTGAGGGAACTCTGAGGGTCTCATATATTGTATGAGCAGAGACACTGGTCATCAGTATTTTGATAATATCTGTAACAAAGTTCATCTCTAAACTTAGGAAACTCACCCACTCAGAACTCACTATTTGTTTAAAAGTCTGAACTCAAATAAAGTGAGAACAGTATGCTTCCTAGATAAACCCACTGACATACAAGCCCAGGGCCCAATGGCGGGGAACTTACCGGACGCAAGCTGCCGAGGGAGCTCCAGGCGTCCCACTTGGCCTTGTTGACAAAGTCCAACATGCCTGGCTTAGGCGTGTTACAGGGACCTTGAGTCGCCTGCAAGCCCAAAGCAGACCAAGAGACACAGAAGGGAAAGCAGAAGTGAGTAGTACACGCACAGTATAAACAGCGACTTCACTGCAAGTCAGGGCAGTACTATGCTTCACTGCAAGTCAAGTAGTACACGCACAGTATAAACAGCGACTTCACTGCAAGTCAGGGCAGTACTATGCTTCACTGCAAGTCAAGTAGTACACGCACAGTATAAACAGCGACTTCACTGCAAGTCAGGGCAGTACTATGCTTCACTGCAAGTCAAGTAGTACACGCACAGTATAAACAGCGACTTCACTGCAAGGCAGGGCAGTACTATGCTTCACTGCAAGTCAAGTAGTACACGCACAGTATAAACAGCGACTTCACTGCAAGGCAGGGCAGTACTATGCTTCACTGTAAGTCAAGTAGTACACGCACAGTATAAACAGCGACTTCACTGCAAGGCAGGGCAGTACTATGCTTCACTGTAAGTCAAGTAGTACATGCACAGTATAAACAGCGACTTCACTGCAAGTGAAGGCTATTTATTTTTTTTATTTTTATTTTTTACAGGGCCCCCTAGGGCTGATATATTTGCCCTATTTTATGCTTTAAGATTCAAATCTGTTATTTGCATTTTTTTATACATAAATTACTATAGGAAACATTTTAAAGAATGCTGCATTATAAATACTAGCACTACTTTAGCTTCGTTCTATTTCATTGCATTAAAAAAAAGCACAGATCTCACAGATGGACCATAAATATTCCTAATCTGACTGAAACTTCAAAACACATGTGCCAAAGACAGCGATATCTCCATCCTTGTTCCTGAGCTGCACAATAGCCAATGGCAGGAGCATGAATGTGGGCCGACTGACTGACCTGCTTGAAGAGGGCGTAGATCTTCAGCTTGACCTGATTGCCAGGGTCAGTCTTCAGTGTGCCCAGCTGGCTCTTGGCCTGACTGAAATCCTCCGGCGTCGCTTCCATCACTGACCGACTTGTGTGTAACTGGAGTACAGGAGCCCGCCACACTTGTCCAACTCTGGAAACGTTAACAGACAAAACCAAACACAAAACTGAAACTGTAAATGTGTGTTTGCCAAATCAATTACAAATTGCCAATGGTCAGGGAAACAAAATATATTTAGAAAACATAATGTCAAACACCAAGTGACTGAAGCCTAATGAATTTAAAAAAAAAAAAAAAGATCAACTATAACAACAGTTAGGACTATTTTCTCATGCTATTAATCCTGATGTTTTAAGCTTCATAAGGGACAGCTCACAAGATGACTCAAGGTTAAGGTGAGGTTATTAATTTTACTAACATGACTTCAGTTTTCTGAACCAAATTATTTTAAACTAAAGAGCACCTGAAAGTCAAGGACATTACAACTGTGCCAATGTTACCGGCCATGATATAACAAGCCAATTCAGCCATGGAGGAATTATTATTGTTATCATTATTACTATTATTATTACCACTTATAAATTATAATTATAAATTATTAATACTTACAAATAATTGCTATAAGTATACAGATCTAATCCAACTCACAAGTGCATGCAGTGTTGAATTACATTGGGAATGTATCCAAATCTGCATTTCTAGGAGGTATAAAATATTAATACAACAAAAAAATACCCCATGCAAAGGACGGCTAACTCACCACTAGCAGTTTAATTTGAGTCTTAAGTTACTTTAGGAGTTTAGGTGAACAAGAATGACATTCATGGAGAAAGAAAACGCTGTCAGTCACCAGTTTAGACATGCAACATACTTCTCGGATGCAAATTCAGCGTATTTCTAAAGGATTAACGGGCACGGCGAAAAATTCCGGTATTAAGCAAGAAAATTAACTGCATATCACCTGGCAGATCTGACGAAACGCCACGGAGCGAACAAGGAAAAAGCAATAGCCATCTCAACTGGGTCAAAAGTACGACGAGCTAGAGACTCCTGGATAAAGCAGTACTGCCTCTGACCGGTTCCCGGTCCCGCCCATTTCCCGCCTCAGCCGCTACCCGATTGGTAGATACAGTCATCAGCTCTTCTTCTACTCCCGGTCTCTTTGAAGGGAGTTTTGAAAGTTATATTGCCACCTATTGCCTGGCGGATGCTCACACAATCCCACTACATGGCATATTCGTATATTAACAATAACAAATCACTACTGTACCATCAGTTACTGGAGAAATTATGGACCTATAATTCATTTGGCTATTTAGTTATATTGTATATTACTAAATTAATAACGAACACTGGATTGTATTAAATTATATTTTCAGATCCCAAAATACCTGTAACGTATCAGTACGTTGGTAGCCTGCCGCGAAGCTGCTAACTGATATCCATTTTAAAGACGTCCTTTTACAACCAAAGCAACATAGGTCAAAACAAATAATCCAAACGAATAATCCAAAAATGCCAACTCCCACGCATTTCAGACTCCCACGTTCACGCAAGAAATATTGCGGCAAATCTATATTATATTACATTTTATAAACCTATAATTAGTTACATCAAAAGCGCAGGACAGTCTGAAAACCCTACAGACAATTTAAAAAGTTAAAAAAAAAAAAAAAACTTACATACATGTAAATGTGTGTACCGACTTGTCTCACGCAAGCCTGCCGACGTTTACGTTTGCCGTGCTAAGAAGAAATCAGTGCAATTGAAAGCGTTTTATACTGTAGGTCATCGACCAAAGGAGGAAAAGAGATAACCAAGCCAAAGTTTTGTAACGTTAATATGCTCAAAGGCTCGGTATTAGAAAATTCAAACAATTTGCATTAATGGTATTGTTTTTAATGCCCATTAAGACAAAAGCAACTACAATAAATATATTAAAAGGTCCATCCTTTGGACAGTTTGTGCAGAAACTCGCGTCAGATGTGGGCGTATAATGTTTACTGTCTGTAGAGTCGCGCCCACTGCCTGAATACAATACACGCAATAGATGAAATACAATGAATAAACACTTGACAGTCGTCATTCAGAGCAATAATCATGGTACAAAACCCGATTATGCTATCCATTTGTCTTTACATAAAATTAATTTATAGTAGGATTCTCACAAAGTTTTTTCAAGCGAAACGTGGGTCTCTGACTTGCTCCACAAGTTTAGTTTAGCGGATATGATTCATTCTTGTGCCAATTACCTATTGTCAGCTGCAATTTTTGTACACTAACTTCTAAATAAAAATAACGATATTCTGAACCACTTGATTTTTGGCCTGATTTAGCCTGATATTTTTCGTCACCCTCAAACAACCAATCGTGTATGATTAATGTTATTAAGAAAACATTTTCCTCGCCCGCTGACCCCAGCAAGCTGTGGCAACACAGCCTGTTACTTCTGACCCTAATTATTTTAGGGGGAAAGTTCTCCATTGCTGAAACGAACTCATTTCTATCTTTTTCGGACTTTTTGCGCATTAGATCCAGCATGGAGTATGTGAAAACGCTAGTCCCGGGGTCTCTAGTGCGGTGAGTTAGTTTGTCAGTTTCATATTTTACTGTTTTAACTTGCTGTTTAAACCTTAATGTGACTGCATGCGCAGTGTATATATACATTCAATATATTCGCTATATGATAACATTTGTATATAGCCTATATAAATTACAACAATGGAATGGGAATTTCTTGGTGCAACAAACAAATCTTAAGACTCACCGATTATACTGCTGACGATCCCCAGAGCTGCTGGTGCGTTTTGCTAATTAGAATAAATCAGCGACTCCTTTTGACTGTCCTGGCTATGGCATATTGGACGGAAATTGTATAGTTTTTAAAGTTAAATGCGTCGTATCCAGTGAATATTTTTGATTGCAGCAAACGTTACACTTTGATTATTTTAGCATTTCTACTAGATCGGTCTTCACCCGGTTGGATACAGTATCTGTAATGGTATATTCACGGAGTACATAAACTCGATGAAAAGTGCCTGTTGCCACAAAAATGAGGTATACAGATTTTTTTGTGGAAGTTTAAGGGCTTGAAACTGGGCCACCTAGAAATCATGGTTCTATAGTGCGACATATCGAAAAAGATCGGAAGATAAGAAATTGCTGTCTTGAACGTGAGGCAATAGCTATGTTTCAGTGCATTTGCTTAATATAAAGATAGACATTGCATATCAGTTTTATTGTCTTGATTTCGGAAGTCGCAGTTTCCATAATTGCATTGTTATTACATACATACTGTTTTGCTATTGTTTGTTAGTATTTCATTATGCTACTAGGTGAGGGCTTCACGTGTGCGAAACTACACTAATTGGTGTTGAAAGATATATGATATTTATGAATCAGGAGGGAGCGGTTCCGCTCTCGTGACATAAATGTATTTACACCTCTGCAGGTCTGTGACCTCGGTAGGCACCTCTTTCACCGGTCAGGTCCTTCCCCCACCCAAGCCCCGTCCCTTCCGGATCTGCACGTATAACCGCTGCCGACGGAGAGGCGTGGTAGCCGCGTCCCTAGATGATCTAGCAAGCAAAGTACGACCCTCCCACGGAATGACTTTGTAATGCGTGGTGTTTGTTGGGATTTATGTGATCCCGAAACTTTTTTGGCAATGCCATTGGTTGCTTCACATTGTTTTTATTGCAGCAATGAATCATTGTCCTCCAATGCACATTTACTTAGGCCTACAACTCGCATTTAATTCTTAGAATTGTCAAATTACCACGTTTGTTTCATTATGCTGTTGAATTTTATCACTAAATATGCTCTCCCATTCAACCAGTAGTCTAATTGGGATATTGCTACTTTGATACTTATGATATTGGTATAATGCTTTCCTATATCCTGTTCCTCCATAAGCTGTCAAGTGACTGAGTTGCAGTTCCTTCATTGCTCCAGTTAGTTGCACTGTGATACTGTCCGGAACCCCCCAAAGGTTGTGAATATCTTCCTGCTGACAAGTGAGCTTCTGACCCTGGTGCTGGAGGAAGATGGCACAGTGGTGGACACAGAGGCCTTCTTCCAATCACTGCCTGCCAACACGCCATTGATGGTGCTGGAGAAGGGGCAGAGATGGACCCAGAGCAAGGTGCTTCCGCTCTTAGTCAAAGTAAAACTTTATTGTCATTTGTACTACACAGTTTGAGAGTGCATGGTAGAACGAAATTGCGTTTCTCCTGGCTCCATGTGCAAAACAAACATAAATACTATAGTATAATATAATACAGTATAATGCAATATAATACCGTACAGTATAATAAATGGTGACAACTTAGTGATGGTCATGCTGTTTTACATTATCTGGTACAGTAACATAGCTGGTTGTGTTCTAGATTTAATTCCTGACTGTATTTGCTGGACCTGGTGGTAGGGCATGATAATTCAGTTTTATTTTATGCAGAGATGGCAATTTCACGTCCAGAGAGTATAAATCCAGACCAAGATTTTGTTTCAACCAACCAGTTGAGTATAAAGAGTCACAGTCACAGAGTACTCAACTGGTTGATTGAAACAAAATCTTGGACTGTATTTGTACTCTCTGGATCTGAAATCTCCACCTCTGATTTTATGTTATGTTTGCAAATAAGCCCATATACAGTACCAGTAAAAGAAAAAATCTGGATATAAATTAGCATGTTATTCACCATATAGTAAAATGCCTTGAGGCAGTGAAGTAATGCATGTCAGATATTCAACATCTCAAAATTTTCTTAAATTTTGGGTTCTTCATAATAGTACCCTTTTACTTCAATGACAGCATTGTGCAGACTCGTGACATTCTTTCACCCAGCTTCCAGATGTAGCCACCCGGGATGCTTCTCCAAGAGTCCTTAAGGAGTTTCCACAAATTCTGGGCACAAGTTGGCTGCCTTGCTCTTACTCTTCAATCCAGCTCATCCCAAACCAGCTCTATAGGGCAGGGGTGGCCAATCTTATCCGCAGTGGGCCAGTGTGCATGCAGGTTTTCACTGTAATTCCCTAATTAGATTACTAATCTGAGGACTGACTGGCTGAAGAGTCCTCACACCTGGGTTTGAACAGCTGACCTACAGGTTATCCCAAAAACCTGCATGCACACCGGCCCTTGCAGATGAGGTTGGCCACCCCTGCTATAGGGTTTAGGTTGGGAGATTGTGGGGGGCAGATCATCTGTTGCAGCACTCCATGTCTTTCCCTGTTTGCAAGATAATACTTACTTACATAATCCTGAGGTGAGCTTAGGGTCATTATCTTATTGGAAAAACAAATGATTTTCAGTAGGTGTTTCCAGACTTTTGACTGTTAATTGTAAATACACATTTTATACAGTAAGTGGTCATCAACTTGTTCAAATCTTAAATTTGTCACTTCATTCCACATTATAATGTAAAAGGCAAATATACAGAACAAAATTTGATAAAGAATTCATTTGTTCATATCTGTATTCTACGAGGTTAATTTTAATTCTAACTGAGGTTGTTTGGACCAAAAATATCTACAGTACGAGGTGGAGGGTTGGTGATTTGTCAACCGACCTGCACTTAGTAACCTTCGTCATGCCTTTCATACGGAATATTAAAGTTCTCCACTAGAGGGCAGTGGTGTTTAACTTTTATTAGAAACGCAGGAAACGAAAATGGGTTTGGTCGCATAATTATTTCCAAAACAACGGGGATGTGACTATGTGGCAATGTTTGATTTTGCTTCTATCATGCAGGGCATCCCAGGTTTCCAACGGCTCAAGAAAAGTGGAATTGCAAAGCTGAGCTTTGACCTGTACAAGCTGAATCCCAAAGACTTCATTGGCTGTTTGGCCATACAGGCTACCCTATATGAGATGTACAGTTTCTCATATGAGATACAGTGCATGGGGTTAAAGGTAATTTTGAAGTGAGTATGGAACAACAAGGAGAAGTGTGCTAAATGGATGTTTGCTGTTTTGCAATCTTTGATTAGTCAGGAGAGCAGCTTTAATTGGATAGTTCAGATACAATATTAAGGAGGATATTTCCTGCTTATCTCTTGGATGGAAATTTTCCATTCTGCAGCTTTGCCTAAAAATTGTAGCACCACTGTGGTGTTTTATTATTATTATTTTGAACTTTCAATCTGAAGGTTAACTACATTACCCAGGGTCCAGTTGGGCTGTTCACATGACTCTAACATTGGCATGGCATATCAATGAATGATGCCTGTGATACAGCTCTTCCCTGCATCCTAATAGGGACACTTCTTACAGATAACAGGTTTTGCCCCCCTTCCCCCTGCTAAGGGCATGTATATCCAGGCATGCTCAGAGATCCCAGCACTTGACAGGGGCCCTCGAATGTCCAAATGTTTAGGGATCATTGGGTGGGGAGGGCAGGGTCATTTTTGTCAGAGGCCACTTGAATGTCATAGCTGGGTGCCCTATCGGAATTTCTTCCCCCTCCCCCATTTTAGGTCGATCCTGCAGTGCCTGACATATGTGGCTCAAGTGTCAGGCCACTTTCTGCTGTGTGGTTCCACCTATTTGCTGCAGCACATTGAAGATGACGACTAGAAGGCAACTAGGACATTGCTTTGTGTGGAAATGGGTTTCAGGATTGATGTCTGGGTACCGTACTGTCTGTACTGTCTATTCTAACTCCAGCTGCAATTGAACACTTGCCACCAGAGTAAAACCTGCATGCTTCTGAAATGTTTAAAGCATCTTCTTGTGTCATATGTTAATTTCTCCTTATATTAAAAACACTTCCCAGAAACACAGTTCTGCTGCTTACAGCTTGAAATGTTCAATTTTGTTATGTTAATTGTTTTTCTGATTGATTTATCACATTTCAGCTAAGCAGGCTTCAGCTTATTTTGGGGGGTGAAATGAACAGGTCACTTGTACATACTGGTACTGACACTTGAATGGTGAATGGTTGAATTGGTATTGGTAGCCCGATATAATATCTCAAAATCCTGACCACAAGTCAGATTTTGAGTTTAGGTTTTATATCAATGAGCGTCAAACTAGCTGGGAGAATGTCTACACAGTGTTTGTCTTTGTTAAATAAAGTGTCTGAAATTTTAGATCTGAGTTTTAAAGTTGGAACATTAAGACGTCCTCCTAAGCTGTGTACAACTACATGCTGATCATTTGTGACATTGTGCACAAGTTTCACTCTCTAAATAAACTTCATCTAAAGTTTGGTCTTTATCTGGAATGGGCTACTCATTTGCTTAGACAGACTGGTGTTTTGAAAAGCGGAATTAAAACAGAAATCGATTCACAGTGCCTCCAGAATTCCACTCTAAAACGATTAATGCCCTGGTTTCCATGAAGCAATGGCTTGCTTTGTGTGGGTTTGCTGATCTTTCTACTTTGCTAATCGTTTGGCTGCTGGCGAGGTGAGATTGGCTGCTAAATGAGACACAGTGCATGGATTTTACTGAGAAAACAATGGAAATCATGGTGCCTGTGTCACCCACTGATGTTTTATGGTGCCACAAACAATGAGGCTATCAACATATGGTGCTATCTTGGATTACAGACTCCCACCTGTATAGCTCTGGTATTCAAATGCGAGGTTTCTCTAAATTTTGAATAAATACAATGCTGGCCCTAGTTACTCTTACTCTAGGCCTATTCAGTCAAAAATTCCATAACTAATGCAAGATTGTGGTGAGTTTGTAACCTAGAGTTTGAAGCATCCGTTCCGTCCGTTCATCAAAGGGCATGTTTACATTAAACTGTGTTAGAAAAATTACTCACAAAAGTAATCCATTAAAGACTGAGATGGAAACTTCAGGTCCAGAAAGTACAAATCCAGACTTTTGTTTCAACACATCAGTTGAGTACTCAATGACTAACAGATCTATGCTCAACTGGTTGGATAAAAGAAAACCTGTAATGGATTACTTTTCTAACTTCCCCAACACCGCATTAACACATACTAAGGGCAATTTATATGCACTAGTCTACCAAAACCACACGTGTAGAGAACGCAGGTGGAAACCCAGACAACCACGCATGCTCAAAACACACACAGCCAGGCACTGATATCCAAAATGTAAACCATATCGATTTAACAAAAAAGGTTTTTTCTAAATCAAATGTCTCAAACCACGTCCTGTAAATTGCTTTACTTCGTTTTATATCACGAGGTGTAATACTCTTTAAACACGCTATTATAGAAGAGGATCTTGCTTTTACGTACAAAGAGCCCAGTTCCATACGACGCATATCCCTATAAAGCAGTATATGCGAATCTTATATATACTGAACGTGCGCTGTAGGCCGGCAGACTGGTGATTGCACAGCCGGCGTGTCAGTCACTTTTCTGGGGCAACCCGCCAGTGCTCTGGGTGTGGACGCGCAGCTGGGAGGAGGATCGACAAGCAGAAGTACTTCTGTTCCTAGTCCGGCCGCAAACTTTTCATTTATAGGTTTTGGATTGTCGGCTAGCTGGTACGCAATCAAGATGAGGGAAATAGTACATATACAGGCGGGGCAGTGTGGCAACCAGATTGGAACCAAGGCAAGTTCGCAGATTTATTTTTTTTTTTGTACATAGATATAATTAATTTATTCCTTGACATTGATTCGTGGGTTTGTTCTTATCGTGAGAGTAAGTAATATGGAAAATGACGTTCTCTTTGGGCTACTCAATTTTTTCTCTAACCTAAAATTAATATTCGAAGTAAATGTCCTTTGAGTTCTTGTTTGTAACATTAACTTTGTGTTCACAGATTATTCTAAAATTATACAAAAATGTGCTTTTAAGACGTTTTTAACGTTAATCCAGCTGTACATGTCGTCGATCCCTTTGTAACGGGTTTTCTGGGACATGCCCTGGGAGTGCTGGGAGCTGACTGCAGTTTGGCCGGAGAGTATCCGGAGAATGCTGGCGGGCGTGGGGGGGGGTGTAATTGATAAAAACTCAGTAATACTTTTTCCCTCTGTAAACGAAAAGATGCGATATTCTTTTGTTTTGACCTCCGGAGTAGTTTTGGGAAGTCATCAGCGACGAGCACGGCATCGATCCAGCAGGAAACTATGTTGGTGACTCAGCGCTTCAACTTGAGAGAATTAACGTCTATTACAACGAGGCATCCTGTGAGTCTGCCTGGGGGGGTGTATGAATCAACGCCTTTTTAATCCCCCTCCCACAGGGCTGCCAGCTCTCACGCATCTGGCGTGACGCTCACGCAAGTAATCTTACGGCAAATCTATATAATTCCATTATAAACATAAAATTAGCCACATCGAAATCGTTGGGGTAGTTTGCAAACCCTACAGACAATTTGCACGGTAATAAAACTGTTACATGTGCATGCGTGTATAGGGTGACCAGATAATCCATGTCAGGGAGGACACTTTGAGCTACTTCGGGTTTTACAAACTACTTTCAAATTGAAAGGTTCCTGTACTCGCCCAAATAGTTCAGCTTTTCTTGTGCTTTGACTAGTTTGTTTCCTTGACTGAAAGGCTCATCCAGCTGTTTCACATTAGCATTAGTGACATATGCATGATTATAGGAGACTGACCAATCAGCACACAGCAAGAACTCGGTGCTCAAGTGAAATCCAGGTCTGTTTAATTGAAATGGTAATTTACAATTCCTGTCCTAGCTCAGTGTGTCCTCCCTGACATGGATTATCTGGTCACTCTATGCGTGTGTAAACTTGTCTCGATTTGAAAATCTTAGGCCAACCAGCTAACCAAAGTTGGCAACACTGCTCGCCCGTGTTTGTAAAATATGCTCTTAAAGCCAAACTCCTAGGTAAAGAAAATATAACGTTTTTGTCGCCCTTGTATAAACTACATATCTTACCGCCCCCTTTCAGTAACAGTTTTACCAGTTATTTACATCAATTCAGAGCAAGCAGACAGTAAAGCAGGATCCAAAACAAACAGGATGCCATTTCATCAGTCGGCATTCAAACACACGTTAGGGTCTATATATTCCCCTGAACTACATGGCATTGGACTATAGGAAGAAGCACACAATGAGAACATGCAACACTCTACCAACGGAGAGAACTGGGCCAGTTTGTACCCATAATTCCAGGGGTACAAGATGCCAGCCCTACCCACTGATCCACTGTGCTAGCCACAGAACATACATTCAGCATTTACACAATTTTCATTGTGACCCTCATTTTGGTAAAAACTCATGTCTCTAACTACACATCCGCAAACTCATATCATATGGCGGCTCTACCACTACTGCACTGTACTACTGTAGTTCAGTCTTCCAGAAGCTGATACTGTGTCTGTATATTAATAATTTTAAGCTCACAAGTATGTTCCCCGGGCGATCCTGGTGGACCTGGAACCTGGAACCATGGACAGTGTTCGGTCAGGGCCTTTTGGAGAGCTCTTCAGACCTGACAACTTCATCTTTGGTGAGCTCAAAGGATTAACATGTTTATCTCCTGGTTCCATCGCTATCTTGCTCCTATTTTAATGTCCCTGCAACTGTCTATAAACACTTAACACACTCATTTCATGCTTACCAGGCTTACATACCATTGAGGCTTGTGACAGATTTCTAAGTGCGTTCATAAGACTTGAGATGGTTGTACCAGAAGCTAAAGGGGGTGTTGATTTATGTGACGTTTCATGACAGATTTAGCCTATTGCTTCCTGCCAATGAGACTGTCTTGGGCAGCTAGTTGGTTCCTGACTGCTGTTGCCTTGCAGGACAGACAGGTGCAGGCAACAACTGGGCCAAGGGCCACTACACGGAAGGTGCTGAACTTGTGGACTCAATCCTAGACGTGGTGAGGAAGGAATGCGAGCACTGTGACTGCCTGCAGGGTTTCCAGCTCACCCACTCCCTCGGTGGCGGCACCGGCTCGGGCATGGGTACCCTGCTGATCAGCAAGATCCGCGAGGAGTACCCCGACCGCATCATGAACACCTTCAGCGTCATGCCCTCGCCCAAAGTATCAGACACCGTGGTGGAGCCCTACAACGCCACACTCTCCGTGCACCAGCTGGTGGAGAACACAGACGAGAGCTACTGCATCGACAACGAGGCGCTCTACGACATCTGCTTCCGGACTCTCAAGTTGACCACGCCCACATATGGAGATCTCAATCACTTGGTGTCAGCCACCATGAGCGGAGTAACGACCTCCTTGCGCTTCCCTGGCCAATTGAATGCTGACCTCCGCAAGTTGGCTGTTAACATGGTCCCCTTCCCTCGGATGCACTTCTTCATGCCCGGCTTTGCTCCACTGACTGCTAGGGGGAGCCAGCAGTACCGCGCCCTCACTGTGCCAGAACTCACCCAGCAGATGTTTGACGCGAAGAACATGATGGCCGCCTGCGATCCTCGGCATGGCCGCTACTTGACGGTAGCTACTGTTTTCCGCGGACCCATGTCCATGAAGGAGGTGGATGAGCAGATGCTGGCCATCCAGAACAAGAACAGCAGCTACTTTGTCGAGTGGATCCCCAACAACGTCAAGGTGGCCGTGTGCGACATCCCGCCCCGCGGCCTCAAGATGGCCTCAACATTCATTGGCAACAGCACAGCCATCCAGGAGCTCTTCAAGCGTATCTCCGAGCAGTTCTCCGCCATGTTCCGACGCAAAGCCTTCCTGCACTGGTTCACCGGCGAGGGCATGGATGAGATGGAGTTCACCGAGGCCGAGAGCAACATGAACGACCTTGTCTCAGAGTACCAGCAGTATCAGGAAGCCACCGCCAACGACGGAGATGAGTTATTCGAGGATGACGAAGAAGAGGCCAATGAGTGAAATGATCATGGTTCCATTATTTTTTTTTTACCACATGAAGGCACTGGCATATTTAAATATAATGGTAACGGCCTTTTTAAAGCTGTGAAATTTTCAGAGTGCTGTAATGCCTTTCGAACAATGTGAGCAACCACTGCAATAAAAATCCTTCACAATATCCTTTCCTGTGATTTTTCTCCTAAGTCAGAAAAACAGAAATAAAAAATAATGCATTTTCAAGCTTTTAATATGGCAGACTTAATATTCCCCCATGACATGACTAGTGCTCTCAGTTCCATTATATGTATGATTTTAGATTTTTGGGAGTATTAGCAAGTTTATTTCTTAAAACATGTACAAAATGTTTTCCTCTACATTTTATCACAGGCTTTACCAGCTTTAACTTACTTACTATTGAATTTCTTCATGTTTGATTATAAATAGGGGTGGTGCAGTGGGATCTGGGTTCGAGTCT